GAAGATATATTTGCAATTTATATCACAGATGACAGCTAGGAAAAAATGTTCAAAGGACCAGAGAAAGATAATTTACAGTAAAAGAAATACAATAGCCATTAAATGTAAGAAAAAAATCTTAATTTCATTCATAATGAGAAAAATAAAAAGTAAACTATATTGAGATGCCATTTTTTACATCCAGGTATTAGCCAAATTCTCACAGTTGGAAAACATACTCTGATGGCATTAAGTTTGGTGAAAAACATTCTTGTACATTACTGATGGGAGGTGAAAAATGGTACGACACTTATGAAGGGCAAATTGGCTCTGTCATTCAAAATCACAAATATGTTTCCTTTTGATCCAGAAATTCCAGTTCTGGAAAATTATTCTGACAACTGTATCTGATTATGATTACATAGATCTGTGTAACATTGTTTTTATGGCAAAAGACTGGAAACAAACAAACAAATCTATCATTTAGTTACTGGGTAAATGAACTGTGATGTATAGACACACTGGAATATTGTATAGACTCCCCCACCTCTAAACGTGGAAGCTTTTGATGCAACATGAAATGATCTCCAGGATATACTGTTAAGTGAGAGAAGCAAGGTGCAGATCATTATATATTTAGTAGTTTTCACTACACTGACCTGTCTGTAAGAATTATATATCCTCATTTGTTTATTATAAAGACACCTGGGAAGGCGCACTGGTAGTAAAAAGGGATGGGGGTGGGGTCTGGATGAGAAGTGGGAATAAGACTCTCCAATGATAACTTTTTGTAATTACTTCATTTTTTTAAAACTGTGATACATTAACTACTCAAAATTGAATTAGCAAATGTAAAAAATTACCTACATATCAAAGACTATATTTCATAAATTGCTTTCTCATTAGACTACACTTAAAGTTTGGTATATAAATGTTTCTTAAGTTTCACCATTTAACTTAATAAAGACTTTCCTTTACTTAATAAACAAATACATCATGGTTAATCTTGCATTTCACCATTTAAACACTCCATTAATCCCAGGTGTGTGGCTGGGGGAGGGAGGGAGGGAGTACATATAGGATTACCACAGTGAAAAGGAACCCAAGATTGAAGGAAAGAGAGTGGGACATGAGAAGCCATAAGAAATGGCAATAAGGCTTCTTGTTGTTATCAGCATCAAAAGGGAAATAAAAGGGTGATCCAAAACAAGATACAACAAATCTTTAAGAAGAGAGTAAGTGGAAGAAGACAGGGAAAAAGAGCAGAAATAAAAGCAGATGGTTAACCATGGCCATCATTGTAAGATTCCCAGTCCCACATCCTGCTACACTGACCCATTCTGAAGTCATCTAACAGAGAAATCCCCTACCCAGGGCATCTCTTCCTCCTTGGTTGGCCTTTTAAAGAAAACCGCTGCTACTAATTTGCTAATGAGTAAATACACCAAAGGTTTTTTCACTATCTTGTAATATTGCGGGCATGAATTATCACAGTTCCTATTTATTCTTTTCAATGGGGCTTAGAAAAAGGGCTTTCTGAGAAGTACTTCTTACCTTTTGGAAAATCTTTAACATTAGAATGAAAGTTTAAGTAGTTAACCTGCTCCTAAACAGCAACAGAAGGCTCTAAATTATCCACATTTCCTTTTTTTCTTGTCCTTTATTCACCTTTGGCATTCCTAAAACACATGCTGAGCAGCCCTGATGGAGAGGCAGGACTCCCATCACATGTCGCTGAATGACTTTCCTCAAATACAAATCACTTATTCCCTAAAGCACACACATCAGTCTAAACTGACACACCCAGGCTGATGGTGTTATCACTAACTAGAGGGGACCCATTCAACGTGTTTCCAAATCTGCTTGCAGAGCTGTGAGGCCCTTCCCTGTGCAGGAAGCATGAAACAAGCAAGAGAGAATGCAAGAAAAATTAAGGCTCTTCATGAGCCCTTGAGTTTAAAACTCAAGTCAAAAATGGGAAGTACATGAAATGGGCAAACTGCCCTTTCTTGGGCAGGAGGAAGACAGAATAAGAACTTAGCGAGGCAGCCAGGAGGTAAATCAGACTCATGGTCACTGCAGGGAGGAACAGGTTAAGGGAAATAGATGGCCAAGAGCAGAACACTTAAGAGTAGGTACTCCTGTCTGAATCTTGAATGGACAGTGTTGGGCAGGTTATTGGTTATTGAGCCTCTCTTAATCTTACTTTGGTATTCTGGACAATGGATGTAATACACAGGATTTTTTTGATGATTAAATGATGAAATATAAGTTAGGCATTTGGCACAGGGGCTGACACATGTAACAGCTAAATAAATGTTAGCTGCTGCTATTCGTGTAATTACTGGCAGTGCATAAACCCTTGTGAGGTTGGCGATTAGAGGGAAGTGTGACAT